AAGAACATCCTTGCCTGTGAAGATATTATTGATCTTCTGTCTTTTTGTCTCAATGCCACATACTTTGTGTTTGAGGGCTGTTATTATCAACAGGTTTTTGGAACAGCGATGGGGTCACCAGTTTCGGCAGTAATTGCTAATTTAGTAATGGAAGATGTCGAACAAAGAGCTTTAGCCTCTGTTCCGGTGTCCCTATCGTTTTGGAAACGTTTCGTCGATGATGTCATCTCTGCGGTTTCTACAAATGAGATCGATATTCTGCTGCAACATTTAAATTCTATTGAGCCGTCCATCCAATTCACGGTAGAACGTGAAATAAATGGACATTTAGCTTTTTTAGACTTGAATGTACACAGAACTGTCGAAGGGAAGTTAGAGACTGATGTTTATCGCAAACCCACCCACACAGACAAATACTTGTCATACGACTCTCATCACCCAGTAAGCCATAAAAGATCCGTAGCAAAAACTTTGCTTCAAAGAGCTGAATCGTTGCCGTCAAACAGTGATTCTCAAGCTAATGAACGTGAATATGTTCTAAATGTTTTAGGGGGAAACAATTACCCAAAGCGTTTTCTTAATGATTGCCTGAGACCACCTATTTGTAGGAACCAAAATAACTCCGAGGGTGATACCTCTGTTAAGGGTTTTGCAATAATTCCATACATTCAAGGTGTCACAGAACCAATCAAGAGAATCTTAAGTAATTGTAATATTAAGGTTGCCTTAAAACCCTATTTGACCTTAGGCCATATTTTCGCAAAGCCAAAAGATCCTGTTGAAAAATATCAGAAGACTCATGCTATATATTCTATACCATGCGGTGACTGCGATAAAGAGTATTTGGGTCAGTCTAAACGCCAGTTTGGTACACGGCTAAAAGAACATCAAAAGGCTGTTTCAACTTTAGACAAGGGAAAATCAGCTTTAGCCGAACATGTACGTTACACCAAACACGAGATTGCGTGGGAAAACTCTAAAGTAATTACCACAAACAATCGCTATGGTCAAAGACTTTGCCTAGAAGCGTGGCATATAAATATGAGTCATCATGCCTTGAATAGGGATGACGGCGCCTATTTGCCAGAAGAATATATGCATCTTCTTGGCAGGTGACGTCATCCCTTGGGTATTCAAGAAGCCACGATCGCAGTTTTAGATCACCCCTGATGAAGACACTAGACTGGAGTGTCGAAACGTTGGGTCTTGATTACAATTCGACTGGGCTTTGTAATCATTTATTTAAACCAGAGTAGCGAGCGAAACATGATTGATATACCTGGTTGCAGTGAACGAACAAACTTTAAATATATTATATGTTGTAAACTTGAGTACAGAAATGATGATGGAAAAACAAGAGAGACCAGAACCATTGGTAGTGCAATTATCAGACTTAAAGGATTAGTGTCACACAAGGATCCGCGGGCTCAAACTCCTGCTGGCGGCCATTTTTCGGGACGAATAGATTTTTTGTGATTTTTATCAGAAATGCACCAACAAAGGTATTTTTATCGCTCTTTGTTGTATTTGAGTAAAATGTAAACAATAACAAAAGCCCGCAATGCATGACCCTGACACTAATGGGTGCTTAACATTGATAGGTGCATAAAGATAACGCATAAATAAAATTGAATAAAATACCTGTTTTTATATTGCTCGCTGGCTCCAATTAAAGGCATCCACTCTAGATTTACGGATACCTTCGATTTGTTGTTAATCGATAGCTGTTCCAAACATGACAGTGTTTCCTTTGACACAATAAGACTTTTCGCCTTTTAAATTTTAATATCAGCTGAAATAACAGGACATTTATGGATTGTCCTGTAATGATGGTCTAAACCATCTCATAAATTATACTGACATTCCTCATGCGGACAAGGGAGTTTATCAGCTAAAAACGCTCTGTGGTGTATATTAAACAAGACGCCTGCTCAGGAGTTCACAATGGCCGTTCAAAATGGCAACTTTCGTGGTACTGGGTGTAATGTGTAGTAGAGAAGTAGATAGGGATACAGGATCATAGGGACACTGGATCATATAAATACAACCAATAAATACAATCATGATCAGCAGCTATCAGCCATAATATACCAAGACGCCGGCTCAGACGTACCTTCTGGCTACGGGCAACTCAACCTGACAAGCCAGGCCCACTGTAATACTATGATCATCAACTACCAACCGTGAATAATGACGGGCCAATAATAGCGAAGAAATTATAGTCCTTGATTTTTAATGCCGTTATATGGCTAGTTTCAGGTGCTAAAAAGTTCATAGACGTAGACGATTCTTCTAAAAAATACGCCAATTTGCTTCCATTTATAAGATAAACTGATCCCAACCCAAAGCCCTTCTCTAACCCCAACCAGTAAACATCTAATAAACAATTTGAGAATTAAAAAAGTGGGGGGAAAGTTGGATCTTGTTCCAAAAACAAATCGAACCGTATCACGTTTCACTTCGCCGCACGCAACGCCACCTCGCTGAATACAATCGAAAACATACATTTTATAGTAATATATGATGAATTAGAAAGTAATTTGGCGCAAATTAATGTATAAATTAGGTGCAAATGTATAATAATGCAAATAAATACAAGAGCACAACGCATATTTATGAGCCTACGTACAACGTTTAACTTGTCCTTGTTTATATTCCACTATATTGTATAACATCGCTGGGTCCAAATTTTGGGGTTTTCGAGTCGTTACACAAAGAAAAACACACTAATTCAACACGCAGTTACACAAAGAAAAACACACTAATTCAACACGCAAGAAAGGCCAGAGTGCGACACAACGTAAAATCCATAGGAAACCGGCACAATTCTTTGAAAATTCACCGAAACTGTGTGAAATATATATTAGATCGCTCAGTGAAAAGCCACCATTTTGAAACTGAACTGAATATGTCACTGGAGCACGTTGCACCCTGAGCCTGCGATGACCTAACGCAAACTCCATTTCTCGTCGAAAACAGAAAACAGAAAAAGAGGGATTTAAGACACTTGGCCAACAGGCCAGTGTAAATAGTCTTTCCTCTTTTGTTGTAAAATTGTCCGCCATTTTGTCTCGGTAATCTGCCAGTCGTTATTTTCCCTCGCCTTCCCTTTTCCCCTTGCGCGCGTCCACCTGACTGATATATATATATATATATATATATATATATATATATATATATATATATATATATATATATATCATGGTGATTCCTATACGGATGAAACAGACTGTTGTGGTTTTTTGAGGTAAAACGAAAAACTATATTACGCTCTATCTATATGGTATTGAGCACTGTTTGTGTTTCGTAAACCAAAATCTTTATATATATATATATATATATATATATATATATATATATATATATATATATATATATATATATATATATATATATATATATATATATATATATATATATATATATATACCGGGTGTCCCAAAAAAAAGTACTCCGGTTTGATTTATAATAACTTCTAAACAAGTAAAGCTATCAAACAGAAATAACTTGCATTAAATAGAGGAAGGACTAACTTAGATTTTATATATTACAGTTGTATTTTACTTAAAAATTCACGGAGATATTAATGTTCAAAATCGGGAGCATATTTTGGGATGTGTCTAAAATTAGCGAAAATCGGCATATCAAATATTAACTCCAGCGTTTGTTTGTTTAATGACATATCAGGCTAACTTGTATTTCAGCGAATTGTCGTCAGGGATTGTATAAGGATATGGCATAGATTTAGACATCTTACATCTAAGCTCATTGTTTCCTGAAATATAAACGTTCGTATTATATTACGAAATATAAACGTAAAGTATTTAATAGGTCTTTAATACAAACTTAAAGGTACATGAAAGACCATTCAAGGCAGGCGCTTAAATTTTTCTTAAATAGCCTATATTTTTTATGCTTTTCATGGGTTGAAATCAGAGTTGAATATTTCTCGATTAGAGCAGGATGAATATTATTTTTTAATGAAGGAAATAATACTGCATTTTGCAAATACACATCACAGTATCAACGCTATTATTTTGTTACGTTTTGTTCAAAAAATGTTGGATGTCTCTGGGGAGTTGCTTGTTATGTCTTATGGAGTTGTATGGTTTGATTGTGTTTCATTCTTAGTTTATTCTGAACTTGTCAAGATTAAGAAAAAGCAAAAAAGATTGAGTGTTCTTAACAAGATTTCAGAACGTTGCAAAAGTTAGAAGAGCTTCACAATTCCATTGTGACAGCATCCCCTAATTCAGAACACGGACGATCCATGACGATCCTTCGCGATGCAGTCAGTGGTCTTATGAAATAAGGAAACGTACTCGTGCTATAGGAACACACGCGGATTTCGGACGAATAAATCTTCCTTGTATTTTGTAGATAACAATACTTTGTTTCATAATAAACAATTTGTCAAGTGTCATTTATTTACTGGTAATAGTGCATGTTTCAGTCGGGCAAATCTTGATTAATATTTGATACCCCGTTTTTTGCATATTTCAGACACATCCAGAAATATGCTCCCGAATTTAAACATTAATATCTCCGCGAATTTTTACGTGAAAAACAAGTGTAATATATCAAAATCTAAGTTAGGGCTTCCTCTATTTGATGCAAGTTATTTCTCTTTAAAAGCTTTACTGATTTCGAAGTTATTACGAATCAAACCGGAGTACTTTTTTTTGGGACACCCGGTATATATATATATATATATATATATATATATATATATATATATATATATATATATATATATATATATATAGATAGATAGATAGATAGATAGATAGATAGATAGATAGATAGATAGATAGATAGATAGATAGATAGATAGATAGATAGATAGATAGATAGATAGATAGATAGATAGATAAAATTCGTCCCTATAAAATTGAAATTCAAATAACGACTGGGGACGAGTCTGGTGCGAACACACCTTGTTGACAATTAAGCTGTGAGATTCTTACGCGTATACATACGTAAAAACGCACAAGTTGTTACAGGTCTGCAAACAAGTTGCTACAAATCTGTTCACAAGCCGTGTCGACAAGTTGTATTCGCACTGCTTGTTCCCAGTTGTTGTAACAAGTTTGGAACAAGCTTGATGGCATTATCAGACTTGCACGAATAAACATTCATTATTTGTTTTATATAATACCAAAATAGACTAATAGATTCGTATGAGAAGCATTTTGACGGATGCGATTTATCGAAAACACAAAGAGTGCAATGGAATAAAACGTATAGTACAATTCCACTCGCAAATAGTGCAATGGAAATGACCAAAGGCAAAGCTGCCCCCGTCAGCAAAGGGCAGGGGGCAGCTACCCCCCACGGCCCCCGTGGCTCCGGCGCCCCTGTTGAACATTTTTTTAGAGCCGCCCTCGATCGCAAGACCTTTATTTTCAAGACGCCCACACCTTCATCTAGAAAATTTAGTACTCTCTCCCCCACTCCAACATTTAATTCGTTACATTTTTCAGTTTAAAATGGGTAATGGGACAAGTACTGGTGTATAAGACATTGTGTAGCCTCGATAATTAGAGGACCAGTATTGCCAAAGTATTAAAAAATGGACCATCTGCATTATAGACTAAATTTTGATCTAAACACGTCTAGAAAAAAATTTCATCACAGCTTGAAAGAGCATCACAAAATTTATTTATAGTAATATTCCAAAGTTTCGTCTTTAATCTATGGTTTCGTTGCGAAATGTTGTAAAATGCGGATAATATAGCCTTGTGAAGTTTGCCGTTTTTCAGTCATTTTCCATTACGCGGTGGAAATTGACAGCCCAATATAACCTTTGGGGTTGTCAATTTCCCGTTTGTAATACAAAATGACTGAAAAACGGCAAACTTCGCAAGGCTATATTATCCGCATTTTACAACATTTTGCAACGAAACTTTGAAATATTACTAATTTTGTGATGCTCTTTCAGTGTGCATGATATTTTTGTCTGCACTTGTTTAGATCAAAATTTAGTCTATAATGCAAATGGTCCATTGGGGTTGCGCCTTGTCACATATTTTGAGGCCGCCCCCAATTCAGGCAAAAAATAATTGAAGCCGCCCCCCCCTTTTCTCACCAACCCGCCCCCCTCCCATGAAAAAAATGACCGGTCCCTAAAACGTCCATAGACAGGCTATAGGGTTCAACTAATACGCAGAGCAGATAATATATCAGAACAATTTTGAGTATGCTAAGTCTGCTAAGTTTAAAAATTCAAAGAACACTATATCAATAGTAAAAAACAAACAAGACAATTTAAATCCTATTGCATAATTTCCGCTCCTTACCTGGCGGTCATTTTGATTTGATCCCGCGATCCATTGCAGGTCAGCAGTTCACTTCATGAACGTAGGTCGATTTCACGTTGACAAAAAAACGAAGAATTTTCGCACAGAAAATTAGGGAACCTCAACAATGGGCCTTACGGCCAGTGTAATTGCATATTTATAGTTATAATGGTAAAAAATCACGGCCAGCCGACAATATAAGAAAATTATATTTCAAGGTCATCATCAGGCAGAATTAATAATGATCTTCTTCCTATTTATGTTATAGTGTATTTGTTATATATATTTAATATACATTTGTCGGTACAGTAGGTCAGAGCAAGCAAACATGCAAGCCATTACGTAAAAATTCCAAATACTATTTTAAAGCCGAGGTTCTAAGCTTTTTGTTGTACTGGGGCTGGTTGTGTACTAACTACTATTTAACTATACCCGTTTTGTACTTAAATGGTAGTTAACTTTAATCACGTACGTAGTTAAGTCGGTTGTATAAAAGTATAATTAGCGTAACTGTAACTGTGTAACTGTGGTCAAAGACAAAGATTAGTTAAAAAATAGTTCAACTTAACTGTGCCCAAACGTATCGTTAACTTTTGAAAAGGTAGTTAGCTAAACAGTAAAAGTGGCGCTTCACTCTTCAGTTAGAAGTGAACAACATTTCCGGGCTTAAGACAATAATGAAAAGCAACGCTTACCTGGGATTTCCAATCGCTATCAGCCCTGTGAATGTTTTCTGACAGTTATAAACTCTTCAAACGCTATCATTTTGTTTATTGGCGAAAACAGAATATATTTTGCACAGGAAGATTCCTCGAAGACGAAGTAAGTACTACACGAAGAATTATGATATATAATTCAGTGCCAAACAGCTACACTTTGGTTTAAGGAAAACTGCGTCCTTCTTTGATTTTTGCCTTGTTTTCTTGTTTATTATTTTTCACTATTTTGAATCAAATTCCCGCCTATTTGCAAAATACGAGCCCACAATCATGTTAAATATACTTGTCAACGGTCGTTGATCACCTATTACTTCGTGTAGTTAACTAATTATATCTAAGGTTTTAACTACGGCAGTTAGCGCTAACTGCAGTGAACTTTAACTACGTTTTAGCAACACAACCGGCCCAGTTGAATATATATTTGCAGTTTATAGATATTTTTACTGATTACGTATTGTTTGGAATGAAAAATGAAGATTAGTTGACATAGTATATGCTGTGTAAGGGAGGATTTACAATTGTGCACATATTAATTAATTAATTAAGCGTTTATTCTTGTTTATAAATTACAAGAGTACCATGCCTTCCTTTCAGCAAATGTTCATTCTCGCTTATCGACTGCGACTCCTGTAAGAAGTTAAAAAGCTTCTTAGGATCAGAATCAACTTCATCTTTGACATTTGAAAAGCAGGCAAGACAGTCGAGCAAATGTTTACCAGCCTCGGAAGTGGAATTAAAACATTCAGTGATGTCAAGGCTATATTCTGGAGAGAACAACTTAAAATTCCAGCCATGCTTTTTCACGATCTCTTCTACTTCTTGAATAGTAAGGTAATCGTTGCTTTCCTCTTCCTTCCGTTCACTGTTCCTGTTCTTTCCGTAGATTTCTCGTATTTTAAACCAGAAATCTTGGTTGTTCCATAGCGTTACCAATATAACACCATCTTGTGCTACCACGTTGTTGTAGCAGTGCACTAGAGCGTCCTCTGCGGAGGAGGTAAAATGGCACAAGCTATCAATGAACAGAATCAAATTTGCCTTGGAAGGTACGCCTTCGTCTTTAGATCTATTTTGCATGTAATCCTCGTAGGTTTGCGCAAAGAAACTAAAACGGACTTTCTTGAAAGGTTCTTGAATTTCATATCCATTCTGTATAGCTTTCTTAAACTTTTCTATTTGACTGGCGACGGGATCCACTGCATGATAGACGATCTTCGTTTCCTCAGAAAGGCGAGAAGAGATTGCTGCCAGTATTGCTCGATCTTTTGTCCCACTGCCACATCCAAAGCTTAAAATTGAATAATTCTCATCGGATGTAGTGTTTTCCTGAAAGTGAAAGAGCCAGATCTTACTTAATCTTACTTTTGACAATGAGAACATTGATTCTGAATTCGCTAAGAGTAAATTTTAGTCAATTTTATAATTATGATAATAAGACAATAAGTGCAGCATGTTTGGAAGGGTAGACGAGTTGATATTAAAACACCTGTTAAGTGAATGCAGTAAACAACAAAGAAGCATAATTTAGTAGAATAAATAGATTACCACATGGATTGGGTGCAGAAAAATAAAATCCAGTGTAAGATATTACGAGATATTAATGTTCCAACTGATCATGTCGTTGAAGTTAGACGTCCAGTCTAACTTTAAAATTTTAATATGCTGTAGTAATTATATTTCTTTTACTTCAACTAAATGCATGATAGGTTACGGTGGATCTGCGCACAGGATTTAAACTCTGGCTTGCAGAGGTACATTTTAGCCTTCCGAGCAGTCTTTTTAACCTGATGATGATTCTTAGTTTTAATTGTAATTTTTTAATTAGAAGAAGATAAAGAAAAACACTTTATACAAGTTTTTCCCACGCGAAGGTCTCCCATGCAGGGTTTCATTTGTTCTCTTGTTCCTCGGAAAGATTTCACCAAGTACACTGTACGATCGTACTAGTGGGATCAGGAACTGGTCACATTTAGACCTTTTGCATTGCTGTGCGAGGCATTTTTTAAATATGTTAAAATTATCTAAATGATCGAACGAAAGACTAGTCAATTAAATGGTTCTCAAAGTGGAGGCGTTTTATATTGGCAGCGATCGATCGCTAAAATGTTTTGCTTTATACATGAAAATTACGTGTACTTTGATGTAGTTAGTGCATTTGTACGCGTAGTATTATGGGCAAACAATTAACGCTTTTAAATATTTGTTCAGTGAAAATGCTTAGGTGCGTGAAGAATTCTAATTCTTGGTGGGCAATTGAGGTTTTCAGCTTACTAATACTACGCCCATTAACAGGCAAACCCCAATAAATAATTATTATCAACAATTTAATAATCAAAATTTAATGGTTAGTCGCTGGTCCATGACTGTCTTTGTTATGGGTGAAGTTTGTCTGTGAATAATAATGATAAGCATATTATCATTATTTTTACACGTATACAGACAAGAATTGCCCCTAAATTGAAAATAAAAAAAATCGGACACCGTCATTCGATGCGGATATTTGTCAAATTTCGTTGACGATCGGACAACAACCACGTTGGCGTCGCCTCTTAACAACAACCACGACAACGACGACAACAACACGAAGATAAGCAGGGATTGGGGAACAGTTCCTGGTCCAAAAATATACCTTGTCGCCTTGTTCCCTAGAAACCCATGGGCGACCCTCACAATTATCTATACAGTATAGGGGATAAATCTATACAGGTCTACACATCTATACAGTATGTGTACAAGTATGTGTTATGTGTTAGTACAGTACCACAGAATGAACGTGTTTGGTACTCGTGACCTTTTTTCAAGACAAAATGGTTTTTGGGGTACGTTAGTGAAGAGAGTAAAAAAAACTTGATACACTACATGTAAAACTTTAGTGCCTAGGAGTGGCATTGATAAACTACAATAAAAGTTTGGTGCTTAGAAAAGTAGTTCAAACTTTTGAAATCACAGCCGGTGTATCTTGCTTGCTAGCTCAAAACGTGAGTGAAATTTTTCTTATAATACCACTGGTCAACCCTGGTATAGGTTTTAAAGGCCTGGCTGGAATTTTAGCTCGGTTAACTGTGCAGGAAGGTAATGCTATGAACACAGTGAGTCTCCATTTCTGTCACGTGTCTTGTGTTGAAAGTCATGTGTCGTGAGTAAGAAGTCATGGGTGTGGGTAAAATCGTGGGTAAACTTGTGGGTCGTAAAATGCGCTAAAACGGTTTTTTTTTCACGAAAATATTTCTTTTATTTTTATATATTTATCTTGTTCTTAACAGAAAAGTACATGTTTCCGCTTGTAGCTTTGGAATCGTTATAGTCCATATAACGGTTGGCACGAATGACTATGTCGACTATTGCATATGATGCAAACATATCGAGTCGAGCACTAATCATTGTGGCGCTCGTATCATATAGTAGATATTATTCTAGTACTTGTATTTGGTGTCAAATGCGAGGTCAAATGTTTACCAAATTGTTTGCTATATTGAATGTCAATTGAACGTAATTAAATGCACAGTATGTGCAAAATAATTAAAAATAATTTTGCGTCGTGTTGGTTCTGTCTTTGCGCGTTGTACCTTAACCTTCGCTTTCCAGGACGCAGTCTTTGAGGAGCGCAATCGTGTTACGGTAGCCAGAGCACAGGCAAACCACTACCAGCCTCAGTATATATCACGTACGTAACGGGAAATCTTGTTTATTCAGTCTAATAAAATCAACTAATAAAATCAACATTCAACAAAGTACAGCAAGTTTGATTTTATCAAGTCTTTATTGCTTACATATGATTACAATGCGCACATTATATAATACGGCTGAAAAGCGTAGATCGAGGACGAGGTACATGACATGTTCTGTCAAACATAACAGGCTGGTGGCAAATGGCTCGAAATCGTGCAAAACTGCAAATAATTTCGCGAAATCTCAAATTGTAGCAATTTATGGAATATTTCCGAACGCCATCATGTATACAGATGAAATGTTTATTTATCTTTAAGGGCCACGAACATATACTATAGGAGATAAAATAGCAAAATTTGGGGCTCGAGCGGGTTGGCCACTTACGGCGTAAAATTTATAGCTCAATATGTTTGTATCATATGCAATCGACATAGTCATTCGCAACATCCAGTCCCCAGCGTGGGAGAAACACGCGTGGGCGGGAAAGGGGGGAATGTGGAAACCCCACGCACGTACTGGAGCCTGGGGACGAGGCTGCGCAACATCCGTGATAGGGACTATAACACTTCCAAAGCTAATAAACCCTATAACTTAAAGATGATGTCCATCCGTTCTGCGCATCAGTTCTGCTTATAACAAAGGGGGACCCCCAGATATAAACATTGCCCAAATTTTGCATCTTTCGAAGTTTTTTGAATTGAAACGTACAGTTTATATTCATTTACAAGTATAGCGAACCAGAAAAGTGTTAGATATTCAGTTAGTATATCATATTTTACAAATATAGCATTTCAAAACGTAAACAAAGTTCGCGCATGTGCACAGGAGTGGACATCATCTTTAAGACTTTTTACCCTCAAACAAAACATCTACAAAACAGAAACATTTACTTTCCTGTATTTGCTGCTATAGATAACAGCATTGAAGAAACACCATACATTTTATTGTATTACTGAAGATTTGTGGCGTTAAATTGTCCTGTATTAATCTAGCGTATGTGCGTATTGGCAAAAGTATAAAGGCAAAAGTATTGTAGTCAGTACGAAAAAAGATTAAAAATAAAAATAATAGTTTCGTAAAAAATGCGTTTTAGCGCATTTTACGACGCACGACTTCGCCCACGACTAGACACACGACTTTTAACACACGACATAAAGGGACACTCGAACACAGGAATATTATTATGAGGTGATCGATTACCGCAATGATTGAACACTTACATCAATATCAGTATTCTCAGAGCGTATTATCCACTTAAAATGCATTGGTCTCGTATTTCAATATGTTTCAGACGTCGAATTTCCATCGAATTTAATTAATTCGTTGCATTTAATGCTTCCAAATTTTATTCGACGGAACTCCGAAGTCAATTTCTATATATCAAATTCTGCGTTAAATCCGAATGAAACTACTAAAAACGCCCATTTCGGCATCTGCCTAAAATAGACCTAATATTTCGACATTCTATTTCGTATTTAATTATTCTGGTCTTCGTGCATGGGTGATCTGTTTACAAATGAGATAAAGTATGTCGCGTGATTTTTATAGTTACATTGTTGTCTAACTGTAGCAAGATTAAATTACTTTGAACATGCAAGGCAACGGCAGTTGTGTGCAATATCGTTTCTAGCTGTCTGCTGTTAACAGTGTTATACTTACATACCGCAACTTGGAGGATATTAACTGACTTTTAGTAATCCATAATGTGGCTTTACAATAGACCGAACTCCGAAATAGCTTACATACTCACAGTCACGCCATCAGCTACGACGGAAGGCAGGTACAAGTCAACATTCTTTGTAAGCCAATCGATCAAGCTTTCTTCCTCGTTCGATTTTTCTTCATAAACACGTTCTATTTGGATCCATTTATCGTCCTCGTGCTCGTGCTTGCTGCAATCATCATGAGAATGCTCTTGACTGTTCGCCATCTTGTACTATATTATACAAGTCAACTGGTCTTGTTTATATAACATGTAATTAATTAATTATTGTTGTCGCGCCTGAAATCAGTCAGGCCCGGCCAGGGGTTTCAGGTTGCAGTATCTCATTGTTAAAATAGGTTGAAATACGAGTATAAAGTATCACAAGATTAAGTTCTCAGGTCTCAGACAGAGGTAGCGTGGAAGTTTAATTAAATACACTACTTATCTGATATGAGCCAGTATTCTTAACAATTATTGGATGAGGTCATGGGCGTGTTTTTAACATGTTTAATGATATTTTGTTTCTTGGTAATCTAAAAACGTAATCTCTGGTATGCTATTCATCCAGACTTGTGGTATGAACGAAGACATTTAATACGATGAAGTACAACGCATGACCTTTCTGTAGCTGCTGGGAGCAAATACTGACATGTTATGTGAATACTAAAAAATATTCAAATTGAATTCAAATTTGTATATACATGTGTTGTAATTTTATAAACATTTACATACAGGCACTATTTGTCATATTCACATCCTGTTCTAACTGGCAAGCTGCACTGAATGAGACAATAATTCGTTTTGCTTGTTTTTGCTTTTTATTATTACGCGGGTAAAAAGTATTTAGAAATTATTTACATTTTGTTTTTCTATTTTGGATAGGCTAGGGGCCTTCTAGAAACCTAATAGATCATAATAGGCTTTTTAATTAAAACCCCTTACATTATTTCATATATATGCTTATATTTAGTCAGTTCGAATTATTATATTGAACAAGGATAAAAGATAGATAGATAGATTGGTTATATATAACATAAAACATTAACATGCATGTTAGGCTAACTTAACTATATATATATATATATTCGAAGTGGAAGATACTATATACGTTCAGTATTTACTATTTACAGTAAAACTGAAGGTGATAATATATTTCAAACTATTATACATCAATTATTGAGCTAATGTGTAATGGACATAATCGTAATTTACTAATTTAACGACTATAAATTGAGATTTAAGACGTCTTATTTTACCATTTTCAAAAGTTCAAATATAGTAAAACTAGTATTAAGCCTAAACATTCCATTTTTGGATAGTTTCTCGCCGGACTCCAATTAAAAGTTTTAGACATGCATAGATTGGAATCAAACCAAATGAATAACTAACAACTAATATAATTAACAACTTTGATGTGTTTTATCACACTTTTTAGCGGATTTCTCACATGGTTAAAAATTGATTTAAGATCATGCACATTGTACTATAGCTTTACACGTGCCTCCAAAAAGCTGGAAATGCCATTTCAGTGCACCAAAAATTTAAAAAAATTTCGGGTAGCATACCTCCGGACCATCCTAATTCGGAGTTGGATGAGGTTGAGCAGGATATCCAGAATTATTATACATTGTAATTGGTAAAAGCAATTTGATTGGCTAAGAGCTTACAGTTAAATCGTGCAATCACGCAACCTACAGAAAATTCAGTTATCTGCTAAACTGAGTTATCTGCAATTGAGCCTGCGATGATTAACAAGCGGTGTCTATTTAACACAAACAAATATATAATAAAACAATTATTGATTCAGTTTTTGCGATACGCAAAATTATCAAGGTCTCGGTAAGTGTTATCAGCCTCGCCTTCGGCTCGGCTGATAACGCTTACCTCGACCTTGATAATTCCGCATATGATCACAAAACCCTCATCCAATTAATAATTGTTAATTATTCAGACCGAGGTCAACGTTGACATCTGCCGAAGCCGAAGCCAATAATTGTTTTATTATCCATTCTATGACAGTAACAATTAACAAATAAAACAAAAAAAAATTAAAAATGAATCATAAAGAGGGCAAAGTTACTTGAATAGGATTGGCTAATGATATGAGGGCATTTTTCTTAATTCAGGGCAAAATTACATGTACCTGATTGGCTGAGATCGCAAGCGCGGGAAGTTTCTTGTTTTAAATGGCAATACTGGCACAATAGCTTCTTGCTTTGTCGTTACGTTTCCACTGAAAATAGCGCGGGCACCTACAAATACCAAAAATTATTTGTAGGCTTTTAGCCAATGAACAAACGAGAACACTGTGTGTACAAACGTAAATTGTATATCTCACTGAGAAAAACGATCGATCCTTCGAACCGGATTCGAACCAGTGACCTAGGGATAATTGCTGTCAACAACTACAGTCGCCCGCTCTGCCAACTGAGCTATCGAAGGATTTATTGAAGGATTTTATTTGCAACAGATAATAGCGTAGAGTGTAAGTTGTAAGAAATAATTATCGTTCATCTGGTGAAAATTTCGTAATTCAGGGCAAAATTACTTATACCTGATTGACTGAGATCGCAAGCGCGGGAAGTTTCTTGTTTTAAATGGCAATACACACAATAGCTTCTCGCTTTGTCGTTACTGTTTCCACTGAAAATAGCGCGCGCGGGCACCTACCGGCAAATAACAAAAACTATTTGTAGGCTTTTAGCCAATGAAAAAACGAGAACACAGTATACATTGAATAATAATCGGTCCTTGCATGGCTGGGCCTATCACATGATTAAGGTAACTCTGAACAAGTGTCACTTGCGGTGATCATAAGCATGATGTTTCTGCATATTATATGTTCTGGTCTTGACAAATATATCACGCTCTTCATGTGCCGAACATAATTGTATCAGACGCGATGCTCTAGCTCAGCTTGTTATGTCGTGGTCTGATCGCTTGCCTTTCAAGCTGACACATTCATTAGCGCTTCCAAAAGTAGAGTTTTTCTTCAAAAATATTTCCGTGTTAAACGATTCTGTAAACCATGCAGATCATGGCAAAAAATGTTGTGTTGGTTTTCCATACCATCTAGGGATTATTGCTGTCTTTTTCAGTATCGTTCCCTGCTCACGGACTTCGAAAAAAATGTTAATGTGGAGTGCTGAGGCTCTGGAAAACAGCAACTAATTTTGCACGAAAATCAGTACATTTGGATCCAATACTCCGCTCGACATTTATAAATAGACATTACTGCCGTCAAACATGAATTATGCCGTTGTTCAAGCTTATTACGACTTTAATTCTTCAAAGAACACTTGCCAGGGTTTTGAATTGTTGTAAGATACTGTAGTGATTTATTCTAACTTTTTAATTACGGTAAATAATGGATTGTTTGCGTTGTATCCTTGAGAGTATGTAATGCCAGGGGGCGAAACTTCGTTATTATGGCTGGGGGGATGTGAGGTTGTTTTGCCCGACTAAAAGGGCGTGGCCGAAGTCGTTCCCGACGGACGAACATTTCAGTCGCTAATTAACCAGTATTTCTTTTTCCCCAAATTTCTGGACATACCATTTTCACTAACTTTCGAAATAATTCAACCGTAATTTGTAAAATTTTTCAGTAATATTTTCGCAAATTTATCGACATTTTTCCAACAACTGTTACTTTTCAATCCGAGACACTCAAATATTTTTAAATTTTTCCCGACGAAATTGTAAGGTTATACCCAACGAGATGGAGACTGGTGGTGTCACCCCCCCCCTCCACACACACACACACACACACACACACACACACACACGGCCCGGTAGTTTCATCCCTGAGTAATGCGGATTTTGATATTAATAAATATTACGGCTTCTCATGACCTTATATGGTAATGTGCAGTTTTGTTATTGGCATAATATCAGAATAGTCTACTGATTTCGTATGAGAAGCGAAGGAAATAACTTAATAAGTTTATTAAAGTTATTAATACTGTGTGTTTCATTGATATGTTTAAAAATAATACACAGACAGAAATAAACTTTATATTAATTAAACTATGTTTGAACAGTTTGAATAATAATTAGCACTTGAAAAACAACGAATCAGAGCCCGATTTTCGTCGGTGTTTCCCAGGGCCTCAGCAAGCCTCCACAGAGGATTGCAGGCTCAGGGTTCGAGATGTCATTTAGCCCGCTATGTATTTCGAACCCATGGCCCTCAGAGCAAGAGATAACCGTGCCAACATGCAAACCATTCAAATCATGACAAAAAATCAGATTCGTATTGGTTTTTCAATGTACAGTATTATTCTATCTGCTTTGTATTTTTGCTTTGTAAATATTCGGCGATCTTGGTGTATGTCTGGTGTGTGTTTATGAAGAAATGGGAAGATAAAGTAATAACATAAAGGATTTGTCCAGTAATGACCACAAATTTGACAGACTTTGCTTTCCTTTACTACTTACGTTCCACACCTACTATGGTTTGAGAGCAGTCACAAATTTGACAGACAAAGAAACACCATTCCTTATGCAGAGATATATAAATACATACATAACATACTGTACATACAAAAATTTATTTATGCACGGTGGCCTCAACAACTCAGAGCTGATTTCCATGAGGGGCGTGATTTTACAAAGAATATACAGATAAACATTACTAGACTATACAAAAATACAAAAACAAAGGAAGAAGGAATTACTATATATAGACAACAGGACGAGCCAATTTTAAATGTTTGCCTGATTAATAATAGTTCTTTGAAAGGAGCAAATTTTTTACCTCATTTTTTATTGTATTCCTAAAAAGTACTGCTGGAATGATGAAGAATGACGTTCACAGTTTATTCGTATCTCATCTCAAGTTATCGCACTTTCTATATTTTGAGTTGTGATGTCACAAGTATGACTTGAGATAGTCACAATAACAGGAAAGTCTGATATCGTGGTGAGTATTTAATCAAATTCAATGAAACTTGGTATTATTCACTTAGTGGGTGCACCCATATGAATATTTTTGGCAGGTCATGGGGTTGTTATGGCAACACATTAGTCCCCAGTCTCTTCTCTTCCTATTCACAAATTTCCTCCTGTGAGTGTAGACCTCTCTCAGAGGATGTTTGCATGTTATAACGGTTTAAACTGATCACAATACCTGCACGTATTATAGTAATAAGCGAAAATTGCTATTTATTTCGTTGGAAATGGATCATATAGAAATAGGAACATAAGGGACTGGGGACGAGTGTGTTACCATAAGAACCATATAAACAGACCAACTTGTTGACTTCGTTGCATCCACTAAGTGTTCCAAGTTTCATTGAATTTGATTGAACGGTCACCAAGATATCAGATATTCTTGTTATTGCCATTATCTCAAGTCATACTTGTGACGTCACAACTCAAAATATAGAAAGTGCGATAACTTGGAAATGAGATGAGATACGAACAAACTGTAAACGTCATTCTTTATCATTTGAGCAGTACCTTTTAATGAAACAATAAAAAATGAGGCAAAAATTTTGTTTCATAAGCACTTTTTTAAAGATTCCGCTACATTTACCTCATACGGTAGATTATTCCATGCTATATCGCTCCGTTATATTTGAAGTCTTTTGCCAAAATCGGTATTTGGTTTAGGAAGAGACAAATCGGTTTATCTACTTCTAAGATCATAGGTATTATCACATTCATTATTCAATCGAAAGGATGTTCTTATAGATTTGGTGCGATGTGCATGTTATTCAGAATTTTATACATAAAACCAGAATTTAGATAATTTCGCCTATATAGTTCTAGGTGTTTCCAACACAGACTTTCGAGTAAATCAACCGACCGAACTTCGTAAGTTGCACCAGAAATTACTCTTGCCACCCGATTTTGAAATTTTTTGTAACCTGTCCGGCTGTCCTTGAGGCCTATTCCACAGTTGTCCTAGAGAGGGCTAGTGAAGTAATCAAAGTAGGGGCCGGTCGTTGTACCATGGTATTGTAGATCAATTGAGCTTATTTCGTAGCATGCATTTTCGAATAAGATTTGTATCGGTTTTTCAATGTACAGTAATTATTCTATCCTTCCTATCGTTTATTGTAAGACTCAGTCTGACTGGCCGTTTTTGCCTTGCTTTTCTTTCCTTTTCTTTATTACTTTACTTCCCATACTAATTCTGTATTGCCCTGGTAGCCACAAATTTAACAGACTTTGCTTTCTTTTACTTTATTACTTTACTTTCCACACCTAGTCTGCATTGGAGAGTAGTCACGAATTTGATATGCAAAAAAAGCACTTTTTTATGCACAAACGTAAATTATCTCACTTAGAAAAACGACCCATCCTTCGAACCGGATTTGAACCAGTGACCTAGGGATAATTGCTGTCAACAACTACAGTCCCCCGCTCTGCCAACTGAGCTATCGAAGGAGCGCTGCGACACTTGTATTTGCAACAGATCAATAATAGCGCAGAGTGCAAATTGTAACTAATAATTATCGTTCATCTGGTGAAAATGTCGGCATCAGGTGCAGGCGACAGTATGCAATCGTGGCGAGTGATTAAGGTGACAGACTCTAAATCTGTTGGCATATAGCTGCGCAGTTTCGAATCCTGTCGACCACGAAATTAAAATTCCGAAATTGTACAATGTTATCAAACTTTTATTTCCTCGGAAAATTTCGAAAACAGATCGGTTATCTTTAAATATTTTCCCAAATAGTAGCTACTAATGATAATATTGATAATATGTGTAAGTGTGTAGGAATTTGTGGGCAACTGTGGCGAATCCTCGAAAGGAAACTACAGAAACTTCAAAACCGAGCTGCAAGAGTCATTATACAGGTGATTCATATGAAATACGCTGCTCAGATGTTTTGGAAAAGAGGAAGAGAGGAGCAGCAATTAGAATATGTATCGAAAGTTCTTGCATACGAATGTCCTGAGAACATTTCGGATGTGTTTAAAATATCTAATTCTGAAAGATACGAGTTAATAAGAAGTAATAATAATTAACAAACTGATGTTGTCGAAGCACAAAACGAATTCAATGACAATGGAAAGAACTTTCGCATATGCTGCTGCCAAAGTATGGAATCAAAGTAATAATAAGTAAAATTTAATTTCTTGTCTCATTTCAAGCGTAAGGGTGGAAATAATGGTGGTTTGAGCGAAAAAATTGTATGCACGACCTAATGAAAAGCAACCCGGTTTGACTGAATTTTATCTTATCATGGTTGATTAGTTACCGTGTTAAAAAATGTTTTATAAATAAATATAAATTAATCAATAAATAAATTTGAGAGTCACTTTTTTATTAGAGTAGTACGTTGGGGGAGATTTGAAATCAAATTCGCTTCGTCAAATCCCTTGTAAGCAATCGTGATCCCGCCGTCTCCGAATTGTGGAAAAGGAAGAATTTTAAACCAAGGAATTATTCTATTAAACTGACCATGCAAACTAAGAAATTGGTCAATGACATTATGAATTGACGATAATGTTGCGAAGAAATTTGAGTTTCGCTTCTCGTCCAGAGAAATGCATTGGCAGTATATCATTCAACAGCAGATAGATTTTTCAAATTTGATAAAAGATATCAAACTTTACCAAGTGCCCGAGTGGTAGGAATTGCTGAAGTAACAGGTTTGACATTTTTGGGATTTCGAACGAGGCGTGAACCTGCGGTCTATGAAATGTTGATCTAGCAGTCTCCAAAATGTTGAAATGTCGGATTTTCTTCCGCAGTTTCAAACCCTTTCGACGATGGAAACTACGAAATTGAACAATGTCAACAATGTTATAAATCTTTTCTTGTCATGCAAAAGTAATAACGATTAAGATTTGCAAGAGCGAAGAAATTTGAATGTCACTTCTCGCCCAGTGAAATGTATTGCCAGCGTGGCTCTGTGGTCGTCCAATTCCGCCAGCACTCTTTGATTTTTCAGTTTGATAAAAAAATAGCAGATCCTCAGCAAAGGGTGACAATTTTTCCTCTTGAAAATTATATATTTTTAACACCACGTACTGCACCTGAGTTGCCTGATTTGCTTAAATGACAGACTTAAAATTTTTTGCGATGTTTCAAAGCGAAGTCAATCCTGCAGCCTAGGAAATGTTGATTCCACCGTCACCAAAATATTGAAAAAGAAACTTTTCTCTTCAATCAATTATTTGCAACAGATAAAGCGCACAGTGCAAGTTTTAAGAAATATTAATCGTACATCAGGTGAAAATGTCGGCATGAGGTGCTGGGCTTCAGCATGTAGTCGTGGCCGAGTGGTGCCAAGGTGACAGACTAGAACTGATCTGTTAGCGGATGATCCTGCGCAGGTTCGAATCCTGCCGATTACGCAAACTGTAGAATTCAACAATGTCATCATTTTTTACCTTTACGTAGATGCATGATACTATTATTTCGCAAATACTATTAACGATAATATATATACAGCTATTTCAATTAAGGTTGTCCCCTGGGCAAAGCGGAAAAGTCGAATACGAGCGCGAAAGGCTGCTGGGAATCGCCAATAAATGAATGTATTTATTAGCGTCCCCAGCAGCCTTTCGCGCTCGTATTGACTTTTCGCTCGTATTCGAAAATGGGATTTCATGCACTGGGACTTGGATTCATCAGCAAAAAAAAACAATAGAAAATGGGAACGGAATTAAGATTTGAGCAGGACAGCCACTGAGATGATGGGATTTGTGCTCTGGAACAATGGGATTTAGTCAAAATTTGGGCTGGGAAATGGAAATCTCTTAAAATGACAGATTTTAAATCAAATTCAAAGGATTCGCGAGGTCAAGTCCTACTGTTTATCAAATCATGATCCTGCCTTATTTCACACATGATTTGTATTGGTTTTTCGATGTGCAGAATTGTTCTAAATTTTCTATCTGTTATCGTCATACTTCTTTTTTCTCTTGCTTCCTTAATTTTCTTTACACTTTGAAAAGCGAGTCTGAATTGAAACCCGCTTTTTATGCACAGCAGTAAATTGTAAACAGCTAGTAAGTGAGCTAGGAATTATTGTTGCCAACAACTACTGTCCCCCGCTCTTTCAACTGACATGTCGAAGGAGAACGATTAAGATTTTTTCTGTGTTGGTTTAATGTACTCATGTGAATATGATGCTTGTGATGTTACTCTGAGTGTATATCCACACCGGGCAAGCTTGAAAATATGCCTGACCACGGTGGTAATCGAACCTACGACCTTTGAAATACTAGCCCAATGCTCTGCCAACTGAGCTACGTGGTCTGCTCGGTTCGAGTATGTAATATTTCGGAACAGAATCTAGTTCCTTCGATATCAATGTAATCTAATAATCATGATTTTTTCTGTGTTGGTGTAATGTACTTAGGTGAATATGATGCTTGTGATGTTACTATTTAAAGAAAATAACCGTCACTCACTTGAAATTGTGCAAATGGCGGTTTTAGCATTGGATACACGATTACATGTTTTACTGTATTTAGGAAAAGGAGTTTTGACCTATCGGCTTTTAAACGGAATTAGCGAGCATATATCTTCGCACTCATATTATGCAATGATAAAATTGGAAAAATTCTTCAGTTATTGCCACCCTTCGACAGCACCAGTTGTTCGAACACACTCGTTTCTTTAATTTAGTTCCGTTTTTACGTATCTCGAAAAAATTCAATGTTATCATTCAGCTCGAAATGGTATTCGAACCCATGGCCCTCAGATTAAAAAACTGACGGTGTAACTCTCGCAGTTCATAAGGAAAAACGACTAATTCAAATAAAATTTGCATTGCTTTTTAAATGACAGAATTATTCTATCTTGTTCTATCTTTGTCAACGCACTATTTTATGCAACGATGTAAATTATATATCATAAAAAATCAATCCCTCGCACCGGATTTGAACAAGTGACCTAGGGATTATTTGTTGTGACCAACTACAGTCCCCAGCTTTGCCTACAGGCTATCGAAGGAGAATATATAATTAAAAAATTACCATCACTCAGTTGAAAGGAGCATTTGCTCTATCGGCTTTTCAAAGGTATTGGGCAGCATATCTTCCCTTTCATATTATTCCATCTTTTCCAGCTTTTATTGTAAGATTTGTTTCATCGCCTAGCTTTCCTTTTCTTTATTTAGCTTGGTCCAAAAACTTAGTTTGTATGGGAGAGTACAGCCACAACGATGCCGGACTTTGCTTTCTTTTCCTTTCTTACTTTACTTTCCACATTTAGTATTGATTGGAGAGAGTAGTCACAAATTTAAGAGACTAAGAAACGCAATGTTTTATGCACATGTGTAAATTATATATCTCAAAAAATCAATCGATCCTTCGATCCGGATTCGAACAAGTGTCCTAGGGATCAAAGCTGTGACCAACTACAGTCCGCGGCTCTACCAACTTAGCTCGAAGGAGAACGCATAATTTAAGAAAATTATCATCACTCACCCCGAACGAGCTTTTACTATAATATGTTTCAAATGGTATTGCGCAGCATATCTTCGCGGTCATATTATGGAATGATAAAATTGGGAATTATCTGCATATTCTTCATCCTCCTATCACACCAGATGTTGTAGCACACTCGTTGCTTCAAGATTGCTCTCGTTTTAGATCTTTTCATTCAGCCCTATATTCGAACTTATGGACTTCGAACTTATGGACCTCATATTACAAGTCTGACGTTCTATCAACTGAGCTAACCGGGCAAACTATGTACATTTGCAAATTATGAGAAAAATGAAGAATTCAAATAATAGTTTATTTCTTTTTCAATGTACAGTATTATTCTTTCTAATCTAACTTTTATTGTAAGACTAGTTTTATTGCCTACCTTTCCTTCTCTTTACTAGTTGACTTTAAAAACTTAGTCTGTATGGAGGAGTACAGCCACAAAGTTGACGCACTTTGCTTTCTTTTCCTTTTCAGTTTACATTCCATTAGTAATCATTGGGTAGTAGTCACAAATTTAAGTAAAAAAGAAACGCCCTTTTTTATGCACTTTTTTATGTAAATTATATATCCCAAAAAATCAATCGATTCTTCAAACCGAATTCGAACCAGTGACCTAGGGATCAATGCAGTGACCAACTACAGTCCCCCGCTCTACCAACTAAGCTATCGAAGGAGAACGTATAACTAAAGAAAATTACCATCACTCACCTGAAACGAGCTGTTGCTCTATTTGGTTTTAAATAGTATTGGGCAGCATATCTTCCCGTTCATATTATGGAACGATAAAATTGGAAATTTCTGCATATTCTTCATCCTTCGACCACCGAAACCGTGATTCCGCGGTCACCGAAATGTTGGAAAAGGGTAGTTTTCCCAACCCAAATAATTATTTTCTCAAACTGGCCATGGATTTATTAGCAATAGATTCTGTTGCACAATGCAAGTTTTAATAAATATTCATCGATCATTTCATGCGAAAGATTTGAACTCTTTTGAAATATTCCCGCGCAGGTTCGTATCCTGCGGACTTCGCAAACTACGAAATTAGCTAATGTTTCTAAAATTTTGCTTACGAACAACGGCACGAAAATGCGTAAGCGCATAGGTATTTGAGTGTCAGTTTTTTAGAGCGGTACCTTGCGAGTGTAGCACAGCGGTGGAGCATTCGACTGAAGATCGAGAGGTCGGTAGTTCAAATACGCCCGCTCCGTTCGATGTTTCGACGAGAATTCACAGCAAATAGCCAAATGGTATAAGGACGACATATTTGAAATCAATTGGCTTCGTTCATTCCTGACAGCAACGAAACCATGATCTCGCGATCTCCCAATTCTTGTAAAAGGGGCATTTTCCAACAACGTAACTATTTTCTTAAGCTCGCCAAGCATTCAATTGCAATAGATTCTATTGCACAAACCAAATTTTAAGACATTTTCATCGATAATCTGAGTCAACGCGGCATAACCATCAAAGTTGAATGTTTATGACGAACATATTCAACGGCATATACCTCTAAGTTGAATGTTTATACCTAACCTATTTAACGGCATAAAGGTCTATGTTGAATGTTTATGCCGAACATATTCAATGGCATAAACATCAACGTTGAATGCCAAAGACAGTCAACGCGTCATAACCAGCAAAGTTGAATGTTTACTGCTACGATAAAGTTCGAAAATATAATCTATTTAATTTTCACGAGTAATACTAACGATAATATATTGTGCAAGCGCGTAGGTAGATGAGAGTTACTTTCATCTTAGAGTTGTACCTTGGGAGTGTAGCTCAGTGGTACAGAATTTGACTGCAGATGGAGAGGTCGGTGGTTCAAATTCTCCCGCTCCTTTAATTTCTCGACGAGAATTATTACTCAAAATGATTTCACTTTATTACTAGATTCCTTGTCGCTGTGCCTTTATGCTATAGTGCCTAAGTATAATTACGAAAGATTTGAAACCAATTGGCTTCGTCATATCCCGCCTTCAATCGCAGTCGTCAGGATGTGGATATGGCCGAGTGGTTAAGGCGACATGCAGCCTTGAAACCACCTGTTGGGATATTCCCGCGCAGGTTCGTATCCTGCCGACTACGAAAAATGTGAATTTGAACAATGTTATCAGAATTTTAATCCTATGGAAAAGTTCGAAAACAGAGGTTAGGTTAGAGATTATAGTACTAACGATAATATATGTAAGAACGTATAGGTAGGAATTTGAATGTCACCTTTTTCATCGAGTTGTACCTTGGGAGTGTAGCTCAGTGGTAGAGCATTCGACTGCAGATCGAGAGGTCGGGGGTTCAAATCCGCTCACTCCCTTTCATTTTTGGACGTGAATTTTTTGCAAATGGTCGGGAATTATACCCAAGAGTAGCTAAGTATAATTACGACAGATTTGAAATTAATTGGCTTCGTCAAATCTTGGCTGCTACGAAACCGTCATTCCGGGGTCTTCGAAATGTTGGAAAAGAGTAATTTCCCCAACCCAAATTATTATTTTCTCAAACTGGCCATGGATAAATTAGCAATATATTCTGTTGCACAATGCAAGTTTAATTAAATAAATATTCATCGATCATCTCATGAAAACGTCGCCTTCAATCGCAGCCCTCAGAATGAATATAGTCGTGGCCGAGCGGTTAAAATTAAGGCGAAAGATTAGAAATCTTTTGGGATATTCCCCCGCAGGTTCGAATCCTGCCGACTTCCCAAACTACGAAATTAGCCAATGTTTCTAAAATTTTGCTCACGAACAACAGCACGAAAAACCATTATCTTCCCGAATAGGGCTATAACAATATATGTTTAAACGCGTAGGTATTTGAGTGTCAGTTTTTTACAGTGGTATCTTGGGATTGTAGCTCAGCGGTGAAGCATTCGACTGAAGATCGAGAGTTCGGTGGTTCAAAATCCTCCGCTCCGTTCGATGTTTCGACGAGAATTCACAGCAAATGGTCAAATGGTATAAAGACGACATATTTGAAATCAATTGGCTTCGTTCATTCCTGACAGCAACGAAACCATGAACTCGCGATATCCCAAATCTTGTAAAAGGGTCATTTTACAACAACGTAACTATTTTCTTAAACTGGCCAAGCATTCATTTGCAATTGATTCTATTGCACAATGCAAATTTCAATAAATTTTCATCGATAATCTGACGGAAACGTCCGCTTCAATCGCAGTCGTCAGCAGGAGGTCGTGGCAGGGGCAGGCTGCATATACATCAAAATAATTAAGTTGAAAGTTTATACCGAATATATTCAACGTCATAAACATCTAAGTTGAATGTTTATACCGAACATATTCAACGTCATAAACGTCTAAGTTGAATGATTAAACCGAAGACAGTCAACGGCATAACCATTCAAGTTGAATGGTTATGCCGAAGACAGGCAACGGCATGACCATCTAAGTTGAATGGTTTTGCCTAACACAGTCAAAGGCATATAACCATCCAATTTGAATGGTTAAACCGAAGACAGTCAGCGGCATAACTATTCAAGTTGAATGGTTATGCCAAAGACAAGCAAAGGCATAACCATCTGAACATGTTTATCCCGAACATATTTAACGGCATAAACATCTAAGTTGAATCTCGTTATAACGAACATGTTCAACGGCATAAACATCTATGTTGAATGGTTATGCCGAATACAGTCAACGATATAACCATCTAAGTTGAATGGTTTTGCCGAAGACTGTCGACGGCATAACCATCCAAGTTGAATGGCGATGCAGAAGACAGTCGACCGCACAGCCATTCAACGGCATAACCATCAAAGTTGAATGTTTATGCCGAACATATTCAACAGCATAAACAGCCGAGTTGAATGTTTATGCAGAAGACAGTCGACCGCATAGCCATTTAACGGCATAATCATCAAAGTTGAATGTTTATGCCGAACATATTCAACGACATAAACAGCCGAGTTGAATGTTTATGCCGAACATATTCAACCAGCGGCATAAACATCTAAGTTGAATGTTTATGCCGAACGTTTTCAACGGCATAAACATCAAAGTTGAATGTTTATGCCGAACATGTACAACGGCATAAGCATCTGAGTGAATGTTTATGCCGAACATATTCGACGGCATAAACATCTAAGTTGAATGTTTATGCCGAATGTATCCAACGGCACAAACATCAAAGTTGAATGTTTATGCCGAACATATTCAACGGCATAAACATCGAAGTCGAAGGTTTATGCCAAACATATTCATTGGCATTAACATCTAGCTAAGTTGAATGGTTATGCCGAAAACAGTCAACGGCATAAACATCTAAGTTGGGTGGTTATGGCGAAGACAGTCAACGGCATAACCATCCAAGTTGAATTATTATGACGAAGACAGTCGCAAGGATATCGCGGCGGTAGACCATTCAACAACAGATAGAGAAGTTGGTATAGACATTCCCGCTCCCTTTCTTTGATTTTTCAATTAGATAAAAAAAATATGCTAGAAATAATTCAAAAAATATTCAGAGATGGAAATTTAATTTTCGAGGCAAAATTTATTTGCCAGAGATAATAGTGCACACCTCCAAGTTTTAAGAAATTTAAATCGCCCGTCTAATGAAAAGTTCGGAATCACGTGGAGGTGGCAGCATGTAGTCGTGGCCGAGTGGTTAAGGCGACAGACTCGAAATCTGTTGGGGTATTCCCGCGCAGGTTCGAATCCTGCCGACTACGAATTTGACGTATAATACCAACTATGATATACGTAAGAACGTATAGGTGGGGATTTGAATGTCACTTTTTTCTTCTAATGGTACCTTGGGAGTGTAGTCGCGAATTTTACCGACTACGAAAACTGCGAAATTAAAGAATGTTATCAAACTTTTACTCCTACGGAGAAGTTCGAGGTTTTTTCACGAGGAATACTAACGATAATATGTGTAAGCGCGTAGGTAGATGAGAGTCACTTTCATCTTAGAGTTGTATCTTGGGAGTGTAGCTCAGTGGTAGAGCATTCGACTGCAGATCGAGAGGTCGGGGGTTCAAATCCGCCCGCTCCCTTTCATTTTTGGTCGTGAATTCTTCGCAAATGGTCGGAAATTATAGCTGAAAATTATTACACTTTACTAAACACCATGTCGCTCAGCCTTTATGCCAGAGTGGCTAAGTATAGATTCGACAGATTTGAAATTAATTGGCTACGCAAATCTTGGCTGCTACGAAACCGTGATCCCGCGGTATCCAAATGTTGGAAAAGTGTAATTTCCCCAACCCTAATTATTATTTTCTCAAAATGGCCATGGATTTATTAGCAATAAATTCTGTTGCACAATGCAAGTTTAAATAAATATTCATCGATCATCTCATGAAAACGCAGTCTTCTGGATATTTATCAATCTCGTTCCCCGAGCATGCCCGTTCGCAGGTTAAGGGTGGGCATAGCTCTGGAGAAATCGAATTGATTCACGTTGAATTTCCAACGTGAGTTCTACGCATGCTCAGCAATTGTTGCAAAATATAAATAAAGTATTTAGAATTTCCCGTCGAAAATTTGATACTTTTTACACTGAAATCGGATTGAAAACATCTAAAAATTATGAGGAAATATGTATGAAAGCTTCAGATTGATAGGGATACAACTACCTGAAAAATACAAGGAGAACTTCGACTTGTCACTTGTACTGTTAGTGTTTATATACATCGCACTTCACCTTTACTGATAAATCTCCTCAAGAATGAGTATTATATATTTTTATGCTTTAAAATTTACATTTAACTCTCCTGTCAGAATTTATGGTATACGTAGTGTTAAATACAACAGTATAAAAGGTCAAGTACTATATATACAAACATTAACAGCACAAGTCGAAGCGCCTTCGCTCGAAACGTCGAAGTTCTCCTTGTATTTTTCAGGTAGTTGTATCCCTATCAATCCGAAGCTTTCCCATATATTCCCTCCAGAATTTCTAGTTGTTTTCAATCGATTTCAGTGTTAAAAAGTAGCAAATTTTCGACGAGAAATTCCAAATACTTTGTTTATATTTTGCAACAATTGCCAAGCATGCGTAGAACTCACGTTGGAAATCCAACGTACTATCTGCCGTTAGCCAATCACAGGCCTGGATCAATTCGATTTCTCCAGAGCTATGCCCACCCTTAACCTGCGAACGGGCATGCTCGGGGAACGAGATTGGATATTTATAGACGTGGCCGACCGGTTAAAATTAAGGCGAAAAATTCGTTTGGGATATTCCCCCGCAGGTTCCGCGCAATTAGTTGAATCAGGTTATGCCGAAGACATGTAGTAAACGCAATAACCATCCAAGTTGAATGGTTATGCCTAAGACAGTCAACGGCACGACCATCTAAGTTAATTGATGGTTTTGCCGAAGACAGTCAACGGCATAACCATCCAAGTTGAATGGTTCTAAGTTGAATGGTTATGCTGAAGACAGTCAACCGCATAACAATCCAAGTTGTATTGTTATGCCGAAGACAGTCAACGGCATAACCATCCAAGCTGAATGGTTATGCCGAAGACAATCGACGGCATAACCATGCATGTTGTATAGTTATTCCGAAGACAATCAACGCAATAACCATCCAAGCTGAA